CCTTACCGTGGCCGTCAGCCTGAGCACCGCTGTCATGTGGCGTATGGCGGAGCGGAGGTCGAAGCGCCGTTAGTTTGCTTCCACTTAATGGAACATTATTTGAAGAAAAAGAAACCGCCAATTTTTGTGTCGGTGAAGAGCGCAGTCTGGAAAGTTACTTTAAATCAAACATTGGTGTCATAGAGCTGGTCTCCCCCCCCCATCCCCCGGTCTGCTGCCTGCCACCCCCCAGCAGCCCCTCGCTCTTTGTTGCCAGCAATCTGGCCACCTGCCGAGGGAGAATCATGCCTCCTGGCCAAGCGCCATAAAGTCAGCCCCCCTGCTGTGGGAATCCACATGCAGGCTTCCTCCTGTCACCCCCCCCCCCCCTGACTGCCCCCCCATGCACGGCACAATCCTGTCCTCCCATGCTCCATGCCCGACAGGGACAAAGGCCGCATTCCCTGTGGGGGCCGGAGATGCGGGGGGCGGAGCCCATTGCTATAGTATCTCGAAGCTAAGACTCAGGTTACCATGGGAACGCGCCCCTGGCTCTGTATTTATTGCAGAGTGGGGCCCCAGTCCCAGGGTAGATCTCCTGGTCCTGTTAGTGTGAGTGAGGTCTGAGCTCTGGGACAGCCTCCTCACTGATCCCCCTCCTCTCACTGGCTCCACTGTCTGCCAGTCTGCTGCCGGATCCCTCCCCTGGGTGGGGTTAACTCTCCGCTGCCTGGAGCACCTCTGTGCGGATTAACCCTTTGCTGCCCATGAGTTTCTCTGTGCAGATTAACCCTTTGCTGCCTGGATCTCTCGCCTGACGGACTTAACCCTTTGCTGCCCGTGAGACTGACGGACTTAATCCTTTGCTGCCCGTGAGCCTGGAAGACTTAACCCTTTGCTGCCTGGATCTCTCGCCTGACAGACTTAACCCTTTGCTACCCGTGAACCTGGCGTACTTAACCCTTTGCTGCCTGGATCTCTCGCCTGACAGACTTAACCCTTTGCTGCCTGGAGTTGCCTGTGTGGATTGACCCTGTGTTGCCTGTGTGGACGGTAACCTTCCATGTCCGGCTCCCCACATCCAGTAAGTGGACCAACCCCGTGCTTCCTGGAAGATTTAGCCCAATTCTCCCCATGAACCCCAATTCCCACTGAACCTCCGCCCCTCTGTCCTGTTGAACCCTGTGGACTATCGGCCCCCTGTTGTCCCATATTGCCTTCCAGAGGACTTTACTGTGTCGCTGTGTCTTGTGTGGTTCTGTGGACTAACGGATCTATCGTCTGTCCCCCGAGAACCCCAATAAACACCCGCACGTCGGGGTCCGTGCAATCCATATCCGTGTGCTCTCTCTCTCCGCGCTCCTCGTACTTTACAATCGGTTATCTTCGGGAATCATCTTGTTTGTGACTTCGGAGATGAGCGCTCTTTGTATAAACAGCTCAAAACAAAACCGCACTCTTATCCTCCTCCTCATCATCAATCTCTTTTCTTTTTCTTGTTTCCTCACATCATTCAGCGCTTTATATTTGACATCAAAGAAGGAAAACACTTTCTACTTGTCCTGATAAGACGTCTGTCTGCGCCACTTGCCATCCTCAAGATCCTCTGCGGTCCCCCGCGTCTTCCAAAATGAATGATAATTCCAGGGAAGTGGGATGGGGGGGAGGGGGGATTGCGAGGTTTAATGATCAGTAAGTAGAGCTGCTCAAAAAATCACGACAATTACCGCCTAAAACGTAATCAGGGAACATCAAGTGGCTTCAAGTATTAGACAAAGTAAATTGTTATTCGTGAATTTTTTTTATACATAATTTCAGCCGAAGCTTTTTTTTTTTTTTTTTGTTGGTTTTTTGGATGGAGCGGGGAAGATGCAGAACCCTGGTCAGGTTTTTATTGCTGTACAGAGGTGCTAGAACTTTGCAGGGGTGTCAAACTGGTGGCCCTCCAGATGCTGCGAAACTACAAGTCCCATCATGCCTCTGGAGTTGGGGGTCATACTTGTAACGGTCAATCCTGCAATGCCTCATGGGACTTGTGGTTTGGCAACAGCTGGAGGGCCGTTGGTTTGACACCCGTGCAAAGTTCTAGCACCTCTGTAAAGCAATAGAAACCTGACCAGGGTTCTGCGTCTTCCCCACTCCGTCCAAAAAACCGGCTCAATTGATGAAAGAGTTCCATGTCCCATGAAGCATTGCAAGATTGACCGTTCCAAGCATGACTCCCAAAAACTGACTCCTCATGGGACTTGCAGTTTGGCAACAGCTGGAGGGCCGTCGGTTTGACACCCCTGCCGGAAGTTCTAGCACCTCTGTACAGCAATGAAAAACCTGACCAGGGTTCTGCGTCTTCCCCGCTCCGTCCAAAACACCGGCTCAATTGATGAAAGAGTTCTCTGGATAACAATAACAGAAGCTCCACGGGTGTCAAAATGGTGGCTCTCCAGCAGTTACCAAACGACAAGTCCCATCATGCCTCTGGAGTTGGGGGTCATACTTGTAACGGTCAATCCTGCAATGCCTCATGGGACTTGTGGTTTGGCAACAGCTGGAGGGCCGTTGGTTTGACACCCGTGCAAAGCTCTAGCACCTCTGTAAAGCAATAGAAACCTGACCAGGGTTCTGCGTCTTCCCCACTCCGTCCAAAAAACCGGTTCAATTGATGAAAGAGTTCCATGTCCCATGAAGCATTGCAAGATTGACCGTTCCAAGCATGACTCCCAAAAACTGACTCCTCATGGGACTTGCAGTTTGGCAACAGCTGGAGGGCCGTCGGTTTGACACCCCTGCCGGAAGTTCTAGCACCTCTGTACAGCAATGAAAAACCTGACCAGGGTTCTCCGTCTTCCCCACTCCGTCCAAAACACTGGCTCAATTGATGAAAGAGTTCTCTGGATAACATTAACAGAAGCTCCACGGGTGTCAAAATGGCGGCCCTTCAGCTGTTGCCAAACTACAAGTCCCATGAGGCATTGCAAGATTGACCGTTCCAAGCATGACTCCCAAAAACTGACTCTTCATGGGACTTGCAGTTTGGCAACAGCTGGAGGGCCGTCGGTTTGACACCCCTGCCGGAAGTTCTAGCACCTCTGTACAGCAATAAAAAACCTGACCAGGGTTCTGCATCTTCCCCGCTTCATACAAAACACCGGCTCAATTGCTGAAAGAGTTCTCTGGATAACAATAACAGAAGCTCCACGGGTGTCAAACTGGTGGCTCTCCAGCAGTTACCAAACGACAAATCCCATCATGCCTCTGGCTGTGGGAGTCATGGTTGTAATGGTAAGTCTTGCCCAGGGGCGGACTGACAACTCATGGGGCCCCCGGGCAATAGGGGATCATGGGGCCCCTCTGTCCTTGCCCAAACTCAAAAAAGCCTATGAAAAAGGTATCAGGGGCATCTCATGGGGCCCCCTACTGACCCCAGGCCCTTGGGCAGTGCCCGAGTTTCCAAATGGTCAGTCCGCCCCTGGTCTTGCCATGCCTCATGGGACTTGTGGTTTATTCAGAGAACTCTTTCATCAATTGAGCTGGCATTTTGGATGGAGCGGGGAAGATGCAGAACCCTGGTCAGGTTTTTATTGCTGTACAGAGGTGATAGAAGTTCCAGCAGGGGTCTCAAACTGGTGGCCCTCCAGCTGTTACAAAACTGTAAGTTCCATCATGCCTCTGGCTTTGGGGGTCATGCTTGTAACGCTCAGTCTTGCAATGCCTCCTGGGACTTGTAGTTTGGCAACAGTTTGACACCCCTGCCGGAAGTTCTGGCACCTCTGTACAGCAATAAAAACCTGACCAGGGTTCTGCATCTTCCCCGCTCCATCCAAAACACCAGCTCAATGGATGAAAGAGTTCTCTGGATAACAATAACAGAAGCTCCATGGGTGTCAAAGTAGCGGCCCTCCAGATGTTGCCAAACGACAAGTCCCATCATGCCTCTGTCTTTGGGAGTCATTTGCTTGTAACGGTCAATCTTGCAGTGCCTCATGGGACTTGTAGTTTGGCATCAGCTGGAGGGGTGGAGGCTCCTGATCCAGGGGGTGGAGACTCCTGATCCAGGGGGTGGAGACTCCTGATCCAGGGGGTAGAGACTCCTGATCCAGGGGGTGGAGACTCCTGATCCGGGCCATTTGTGGGATTTCTGTTATCATTTAGGCTTAAAAAGGAGCCAAACAATTACATGATAATAAATGGCTTCATATGATCGCTATCCTGCAAAAAAGACAGTTATTTGGCGTGATCGGTCATATATAAATGGGATTTTTGATATGGGAGAATCTATTGTTGCTGGAGGGGGTCGTATGTTGATGCTGGCTGCTGAGAGATCTATTGTTGGCAGGGGTATATTGTTAGTGCGGTTCTATTGTTGCTGGTGGGAAGAACGTCCCTTACATTGGGGGTCGGTGGGAAGAATGTCCCTTACATTGGGGGTCGGTGGGAAGAATGTCCCTTACATTGGGGGTCAGTGGGAAGAATGTCCCTTACATTGGGGGTCAGTGGGAAGAATGTCCCTTACATTGGTGGTCAGTGGGAAGAATGTCCCTTACATTGGAGGTCAGTGGGAAGAATGTCCCTTACATTGGGGGTCAGTGGGAAGAATGTCCCTTACATTGGGGGTCGGTGGGAAGAATGTCCCTTACATTGGGGGTCGGTGGGAAGAATGTCCCTTACATTGGGGGTCGGTGGGAAGAATGTCCCTTACATTGGGGGTCAGTGGGAAGAATGTCCCTTACATTGGGGGTCAGTGGGAAGAATGTCCCTTACATTGGGGGGTCAGTGGGAAGAATGTCCCTTACATTGGGGGTCAGTGGGAAGAATGTCCCTTACATTGGGGGGTCAGTGGGAAGAATGTCCCTTACATTGGGGGGTCAGTGGGAAGAATGTCCCTTACATTGGTGGGTCAGTGGGAAGAATGTCCCTTACATTGGGGGTAAGTGGGAAGAACGTCCCTTACATTGGGGGTCAGTGGGAAGAATGTCCCTTACATTGGGGTCAGTGGGAAGAATGTCCCTTACATTGGGGGTCAGTGGGAAGAATGTCCCTTACATTGGGGGTCAGTGGGAAGAATGTCCCTTACATTGGGGGTCAGTGGGAAGAATGTCCCTTACATTGGGGGTCAGTGGGAAGAATGTCCCTTACATTGGTGATCAGTGGGAAGAATGTCCCTTTACATTGGGGGTCAGTGGGAAGAATGTCCCTTACATTGGGGTCAGTGGGAAGAATGTCCCTTACATTGGTGGTCAGTGGGAAGAATCAGTGGGAAGAATGTCCCTTACATTGGTGATCAGTGGGAAGAATGTCCCTTACATTGGGGGTCAGTGGGAAGAATGTCCCGTTACATTGGGGGTCAGTGGGAAGAATGTCCCTTACATTGGGGGTCAGTGGGAAGAATGTCCCTTACATTGGGGTCAGTGGGAAGAAATGTCCCTTACATTGGGGGTCAGTGGGAAGAATGTCCCTTACATTGGGGGTCAGTGGGAAGAATGTCCCTTACATTGGGGGTCAGTGGGAAGAATGAATGTCCCTTACATTGGAGGTCAGTGGGAAGAACGTCCCTTACATTGGGGGGTCAGTGGGAAGAATGTCCCTTACATTGGGGGTCAGTGGGAAGAATGTCCCTTACATTGGTGATCAGTGGGAAGAATGTCCCTTACATTGGGGGTCAGTGGGAAGAATGTCCCTTACATTGGGGATCAGTGGGAAGAATGTCCCTTACATTGGGGGATCAGTGGAAAGAATGTCCCTTACATTGGTGGTCAGTGGGAAGAATGTCCCTTACATTGGGGGTCAGTGGGAAGAACGTCCCTTACATTGGGGGTCAGTGGGAAGAATGTCCCTTACATTGGGGATCAGTGGAAAGAATGTCCCTTACATTGGTGGTCAGTGGGAAGAATGTCCCTTACATTGGGGGTCAGTGGGAAGAATGTCCCTTACATTGGGGGTCAGTGGGAAGAATGTCCCTTACATTGGGGGTCAGTGGGAAGAATGTCCCTTACATTGGTGGTCAGTGGGAAGAATGTCCCTTACATTGGTGGTCAGTGGGAAGAATGTCCGTTACATTGGGGGTCAGTGGGAAGAATGTCCCTTACATTGGGGGTCAGTGGGAAGAATGTCCCTTACATTGGGGGTCAGTGGGAAAGAATGTCCCTTACATTGGGGGTCAGTGGGAAGAATGTCCCTTACATTGGGGGTCAGTGGGAAGAATGTCCCTTACATTGGGGGTCAGTGGGAAGAATGTCCCTTACATGGGGGGTCAGTGGGAAGAATGTCCCTTACATTGGGGGTCAGTGGGAAGAATGTCCCTTACATTGGGGGTCAGTGGGAAGAATGTCCCTTACATTGGGGGTCAGTGGGAAGAATGTCCCTTACATGGGGGGTCAGTGGGAAGAATGTCCCTTACATTGGGGGTCAGTGGGAAGAATGTCCCTTACATTGGGGGTCAGTGGGAAGAATGTCCCTTACATTGGGGGTCAGTGGGAAGAATGTCCCTTACATTGGGGGTCAGTGGGAAGAATGTCCCTTACATTGGGGGTCAGTGGGAAGAATGTCCCTCTGGATGATACAAACGTTTGATCTGTATTATGTTGCAGAATAAATGTTACAAATTTCGCTACTTTAGCTGTTTGCATTGAAACATTGTAAGAGAAATGATAGAATTTCATGAAAGCAACTAAAAAAAAAGTCATGAAGTTTAGTGAAGTTTGAAGTGGAATTAATGACGAGTTTGTCTGGAAAACAATGACATGAAGAAGTGTCAGCGGTGAGCCGAGGGGATAAACACTCCAGAAGTCATTCGCATCGTTTGACTTTTCCGGCGCAGATTTTCTTCTAATTGTGTTAACTCGACTCTGACGACTTTTTAATAAATGTGTTCGGTGAATGTGAGCGGAGCGCTGCGGAGCGGCAATTACCATTTGTGTGACAATTATGACAAAGGAGACGCGTGATTGTCGCTCTGCGGAAGAATCTGCCGCCGCTCCGGAACAGCGGGGAATCGTTCTGCGCAGCTGATAATGATCACCGTTCTTTTATTAGCATCCCCACCTTCATTAGCGAGCTGGCGGGGGGCAAAAATAAAATTCGACAAGGATGATGTTTCCCAAAAATACATTTCACACCTAAGATGGAGGGAAACGGTACAAACAATTACTTTTTTTAAGCACCTTTAAATTTAACCCCTTTTGTGGACTTTGGGTGCGCTACATAGAATTATAAACATCGATCAGACGGGAGATAGAGAGATACAAAGTAACATTGTTTATAAACATCGATCAGACGGGAGATAGAGAGATACAAAGTAACATTGTTTATAAACATCGATCAGACGGGGGATAGAGAGATACAAAGTAACATTGTTTATAAACATCGATCAGATGGGAGATAGAGATACAAAGTAACATTGTTTATAAACATCGATCAGACGGGGGATGGAGAGATACAAAGTAACATTGTTTATAAACATCGATCAGACGGGAGATGGAGAGATACAAAGTAACATTGTTTATAAACATCGATCAGAAGGGAGAGAGAGATACAAAGTAACATTGTTTATAAACATCGATCAGACGGGGGATGGAGAGATACAAAGTAACATTGTTTATAAACATCGATCAGAAGGGAGAGAGAGATACAAAGTAACATTGTTTATAAACATCGATCAGACGGGGGATGGAGAGATACAAAGTAACATTGTTTATAAACATCGATCAGAAGGGAGAGAGAGATACAAAGTAACATTGTTTATAAAACATCGATCAGACGGGGGATGGAGAGATACAAAGTAACATTGTTTATAAACATCGATCAGACGGGAGAGAGAGAGATACAAAGTAACATTGTTTATATAAACATCGATCAGAAGGGAGAGAGAGATACAAAGTAACATTGTTTATAAACATCGATCAGACGGGGGGGGATGGAGAGATACAAAGTAACATTGTTTATAAACATCGATCAGACGGGGGATGGAGAGATACAAAGTAACATTGTTTATAAACATCGATCAGACGGGAGATGGAGAGATACAAAGTAACATTGTTTATAAACATCGATCAGAAGGGAGAGAGAGATACAAAGTAACATTGTTTATAAACATCGATCAGAGGGGAGATAGAGAGATACAAAGTAACATTGTTTATAAACATCGATCAGACGGGAGATGGAGAGATACAAAGTAACATTGTTTATAAACATCGATCAGAGGGGAGATAGAGAGATACAAAGTAACATTGTTTATAAACATCGATCAGACGGGAGATGGAGAGATACAAAGTAACATTGTTTATAAACATCGATCAGACGGGAGATAGAGAGATACAAAGTAACATTGTTTATAAACATCGATCAGACGGGAGATGGAGAGATACAAAGTAACATGTTTATAAACATCGATCAGACGGGAGAGATATACAAAGTAACATTGTTTATAAACATCGATCAGACGGGAGATACAAAGTAACATTGTTTATAAACATCGATCAGACGGGGAGAGATACAAAGTAACATTGTTTATAAAACATCGATCAGATGGGAGATGGAGAGATACAAAGTAACATTGTTCATAAACATCGATCAGACGGGAGATGGAGAGATACAAAGTAACATTGTTTATAAACATTGATCAGACGGGAGATGGAGAGATACAAAGTAACATTGTTTATAAACATCGATCAGACGGGAGATAGAGATACAAAGTAACATTGTTTATAAACATCGATCAGAAGGGGGAGAGAGAGATACAAAGTAACATTGTTTATAAACATCGATCAGACGGGAGATGGAGAGATACAAAGTAACATTGTTTATAAACATCGATCAGACGGGAGATATACAAAGTAACATTGTTTATAAACATTGATCAGACGGGAGATACAAAGTAACATTGTTTATAAACATCGATCAGACGGGAGATACAAAGTAACATTGTTTATAAACATCGATCAGACGGGAGATACAAAGTAACATTGTTTATAAACATCGATCAGATGGGAGATGGAGAGATACAAAGTAACATTGTTCATAAACATCGATCAGACGGGAGATGGAGAGATACAAAGTAACATTGTTTATAAACATTGATCAGACGGGAGATGGAGAGATACAAAGTAACATTGTTTATAAACATCGATCAGACGGGAGATGGAGAGATACAAAGTAACATTGTTTATAAACATCGATCAGAAGGGAGAGAGAGATACAAAGTAACATTGTTTATAAAACATCGATCAGATGGGAGATGGAGAGATACAAAGTAACATTGTTCATAAACATCGATCAGACGGGAGATGGAGAGATACAAAGTAACATTGTTTATAAACATTGATCAGACGGGAGATGGAGAGATACAAAGTAACATTGTTTATAAACATCGATCAGACGGGAGATGGAGAGATACAAAGTAACATTGTTTTATAAACATCGATCAGAAGGGAGAGAGAGATACAAAGTAACATTGTTTATAAACATCGATCAGACGGGAGAGAGGTACAAACCACCAATGACCCAGTGCCCCTGGATACCATGCATGCTCATGCCATCACCCCACCTCCACCATGTTGTACAGATGTTGTTGTGTACTTTGGATCATGAGCTGTTCCAAGTCTTCTCCACACTTCTTTCTTCCCATCATTCTGGTAGATTCATCTTCATTTCATCCGTCCAAAGAATCCTTCTCCAGGACTGGTCCGGCTTTTTTTAGATGTCTGACTTTTCTATTCTTCAGGATTATGAATGGTTTGCACCTCGTGGTGAACCCTCTGTATTTGCACCTCGTGGTGATCCCTCTGTATCTGCACCTCGTGGTGATCCCTCTGTATTTGCACCTCGTGGTGATCCCTCTGTATTTGCACCTCGTGGTGAACCTTCTGTATTTGCACCTCGTGGTGATCCCTCTGTATTTGCACCTCGTGGTGACCCCTCTGTATTTGCACCTCGTGGTGATCCCTCTGTATTTGCACCTCGTGGTGATCCCTCTGTATTTGCACCTCGTGGTGATCCCTCTGTATCTGCACCTCGTGGTGAACCCTCTGTATCTGCACCTCGTGGTGAACCCTCTGTATTTGCACCTCGTGGTGATCCCTCTGTATTTGCACCTCGTGGTGAACCTTCTGTATCTGCACCTCGTGGTGAACCTTCTGTATTTGCACCTCGTGGTGATCCCTCTGTATTTGCACCTCGTGTGTGAACCTTCTGTATCTGCACCTCGTGGTGAACCTTCTGTATTTGCACCTCGTGGTGATCCCTCTGTATTTGCACCTGGTGGTGATCCCTCTGTATTTGCACCTCGTGGTGAACCCTCTGTATCTGCACCTCGTGGTGAACCCTCTGTATCTGCACCTCGTGGTGAACCCTCTGTATCTGCACCTCGTGGTGATCCCTCTGTATTTGCACCTCGTGGTGATCCCTCTGTATTTGCACCTCGTGGTGAACCTTCTGTATTTGCACCTCGTGGTGAACCCTCTGTATTTGCACCTCGTGGTGATCCCTCTGTATTTGCACCTGGTGGTGATCTGTCTGTATTTGCACCTCGTGGTGACCCCTCTGTATTTGCACCTCGTGGTGATCCCTCTGTATTTGCACCTCGTGGTGATCCCTCTGTATTTGCACCTCGTGGTGATCCCTCTGTATCTGCACCTCGTGGTGAACCCTCTGTATCTGCACCTCGTGGTGAACCCTCTGTATCTGCACCTCGTGGTGATCCCTCTGTATTTGCACCTCGTGGTGATCCCTCTGTATTTGCACCTCGTGGTGAACCTTCTGTATCTGCACCTCGTGGTGAACCTTCTGTATTTGCACCTCGTGGTGAACCCTCTGTATTTGCACCTCGTGGTGATCCCTCTGTATTTGCACCTGGTGGTGATCTGTCTGTATTTGCACCTCGTGGTGACCCCTCTGTATTTGCACCTCGTGGTGATCCCTCTGTATTTGCACCTCGTGGTGATCCCTCTGTATCTGCACCTCGTGGTGAACCCTCTGTATCTGCAC